TACTCTTCTCAGCCGCATCCCGAAGCCTGGTAGAGGCTAGGAGCAGATCATCCTATATTACAATCAAGAGATATAAAATTGACGTCGTTTTTTCCATCCCAGATTTATGTATTGGCTTTGATACAAGCTCACAGATACGTACATCATATGCACTTTTAATTTTGCGTCTCTTCATATTCGATTTCTTTGATCATAATTAAGATTGATGGACTAGGCCCCCACGCTGTCCAGATCATGTTATAGTTTCCATTCCCTCAATTACTTATTATTGCCAAATTGTTATTCACTGAATTTTCTCATCCATATATGTCACAAACTGGGGCAAGTATGACAAATCACTTCTGAACAGAGCCCGTCCTCTTTGAAATTATCGTAATCCTTTTAAACCATAAAATTGACAACATACCGTCTTCAATTTAAAGGCATCCAATGCGATTTCAGGGTTGCAAAACTGGAAATATTCTGAGTAAGGCAATCTTTGTGATGTTGACACACACTGCTTCACATTGGCACATTTGAGTCAACATTTCATACTTTGGGCTTTTAAAACTGCAGAAACAAGGCCAAAGACGGGCCCTTTATTTTCTAGGTGGTACCCTAAAAACCAACCTAGGACCCTTCCAGTAACCATTTTCCGTCAGAATTTTTGCTCCATGAGGGTCAACATACATTGAGACAGTGTATTTTCAACTCACTATGTAGCTAAATGACTAGAATATTGGCTGTGAAAAATCGGGTTTCCAAGCCCTAATAGGACATCTATATCAACTCCAACGGTTTTATCTAGTCTTATGTGAAAATTGAAGACACATATTTGATACGCGTACGCTTCAAGAACGACTATATCCACTCACAGAGTGATGCGATTATTGTACTAAAACATGAGTCTTATCTTTTCAAATTGAATCAGCTACTTGCAATTGGTGGCACGCATAGTGCGTGGGTACTAATGATATAAAAGAGTCCTCTCTGTCTATTACCTTGGTCCCCTCCCAGTCTATTACGCAGTTGTTTCTATATGGTAATAAAGTAACTCATCCTGGACAAATTTTCTCCACACTAGACATCATAAATTCTTTGGAAAAACTGATGATGATTGTATGTTGTATGTGAATCAAATGTATTACATGTACACGTATGAATATGTTCTTTTTTTCAAATTATCAAATATAAAATCACCATCAACATCAATAGGCCTATATCAGCCGGGACCAAGCTTGTACAAATGTACATATTTCTCTCCACAAAGCCCTATCAAGCAATGTTTTTCTATGTTTCCAGTATCTCTAATAACTTAAGTGTCATTAAAAGTCAAACTTCTTCTATGCGGATGAAACTATAATATTTCTTGCTTGAAGTCTGGAATAAAATTCGTTATGCAGTACAGTGAGAACATCTGACCGTATCCCTCACAGTTACACCGAGCTATGTGGCCATGAACGCCGCGACCGAAGTTGTTACAGCAACGCCGTACAGCATATCGGCCTTGGCCGATGACTCGTACTAGCTATAGAATGTGGGGTCTGTATTCTAACGGCTGGTGTGATGTACATCATCATTGTTCCATGTCAAAGAGCAGGGGAACCCTGCCCGAAGAGGTCGTTACAAAAGTCTACGTAACAGACTGTGAAACTTTAAACTTTATTCAGAAACCATTAGCGGTGGGCCCAAGTGTCCACCGCTAGCCTTCCTGGCATTCGGACGTTAAGCTAGGGACAATGACCCCGTATAAATGGCCTCCAAGTACACAGTAACAATGCGATATTCAAGAAACACGTTGCATTGCCATTGGTAACGGGGAATATACTATTTCCCGCTGCGTTGACGACGTCGTAGGCCCTCTTTAGACTGACGACGATTGAATAGTCGTGCGGATGTTATTGTCAAGACACGCCTGTTTCAAACCCAGCAAACGCGGCGATGTAATTATTTTTTGGCCGTCTGAAGAGGACTACATTTGTTGCACACAGCATCTGTCAATGGCTCATTAGATTCTCATTATGTGATTATACTTTGGCCAAATTTGGGCCTCTTCTTTCCTTCCTTTACTTCAGGCACGACATACTTTATGAATCTCTAGGCACTACGTACAACAGGTGTGTTTAGAATGTGGAATTACGTACTTTTCTGTCAGTGCCGTGGTTCCTATCGTGAGAGTACAGAGTTAGTGGGCACCGTTGAGCTTCATCAACTGAAATACCAGACATTCTTCACGAAGGAGGACATACTTATTTTGGCAGAATACTTGTGGCATGGCTGGGCGTATCTTGTGCTCTTAGACTGCGCATGGAAGAACTTAATTGCACGACAATTTCAAAGTACAATGTATGGCAACGACTATTGAACACAGTACACATTAACATATATGGTGGCAGCAGTCTAAATCCCTTCTTCTATAAAATTGCAACATCATGTAACCAAACACCGTTAACAGTCAAGTAGGGCTAATCATGATATACTCTAGTATATTTTTTTGGCTTGGGTAACTCTTCGCTATCTGCAATCTGACATTAGCCAGGAATGCCAGGCCAACGTTAACGCGTTTTTGCAGCAATAAATTTTGCTCCCAGCGGAGTCTGTGTATAGACTAACCGGAACAAGTGGAATGTGGCTGGATTGACGCTATCAAGTGGGTCAATCGGGATCGAGAGCGGGGGGAGGGGCGGTATGCTGGGCACGAGAGCGGGGCAGCACGCCGCCGGCTTTGAAGACCCTAACTGTGCCACCCGATACTCATCAAAACATTCATAGATTGAACAGGGTATCTCTGTTCTCTTTTTCACAATAACAATCCCTAATATCTGTCTTATCTGTAACTCTGTGTACACACAACATCTTTGTAACAGCTATTAAGATTACTACATTCGGAAACGTATCAATTTGTACAATCAAACAAGCAATGGAGAGAGAAAAGTGTCAATACTTGGTGAGGAGCTCAGTGCATCATCATCAAATCTTGTCGGCATCTGTTTATGTTTTGTTTACATGGTATGTTTTTATTGGAGGAAGTATTAAAAGAGACCGTGGCGATATGGCTATAGTATAACAACCACGTGTGTGATATTTGATATTCCAAGGACGATACAGCATGTACTACAGGAGATGCTATTGGAAACTGATTTATACTCAAATACTACAATAGTATATATACTGAGTACCTCTAAAAGGGTAAAGCAAGCAGTGGGATATAAAGGTATCGGTAAGTGATGGGAATGGTAGGTTTTTATCGTACCCACGAATCCCCGCATCTGCCATTTTTCAAGACGTTTTTTTCACCGGATAGCTTTCTAGACACAATTTACGTCAGAATCCAAATCTTTCTGAACTTCAAACTTTCAAAGGACGGCCGTGGACACGACGGCATGTATCTTTGATGTATTCTTAAGTCCTCGTTTGTCAAATACGTCTTGGAGTAGACGCAAGGCCCAGGGTTACATAGCGATTTTTTCTGCGGAGTAGCTTTACGTGCAGCTTTACGTGCAGCGAAGCTTGAGATAGGCCAAAGCAAAGAATTTTTATGGATGACATCAGCGCGCGCATTAATTTTCGCCTGATTTTGGAAAAATAAAACAAGAAATTTTGTTGCACTCTGACAGTGGTCACCATGCCGAAAATGGACACAAAGATGTCTGTTGCCATGCCGGAAGGTGGATGGCAGAGAGGAGACAAGAAACGGCTCTGATTTAATGTTTTGTTTCTTACTTTGATGCAGTGATATGTGATGTTGGCTGTGTATATGTGATGTTCCCACTGAATCAAAACCATTTGTACAGTGATTGAGTCAAAATGTAGGAACCTTGTTTTTTTCGCCCGCTCGCATTAGATTTGGAGTCTGTGGAGGATGCCCTCCATAAATTTACTTGCTGTGGCCATAGATATAGAGTGAAGAGACAAAAATAGAACGCTCGGGGAAGGCACCAGTCATCTTTAGCACATCCATAAGTACAGATAGTTGTCATTCTGACATCTGTGTGTGTGTGTGTATGTGCTGGATTATAGGCTCACATATTTGCACCGTGAATAGAGTAAGTAGACTAAGCTACGTTCCAAAAAGCCTGGAATAGACCGTCTGCATTTTCAGGCCTTTTCAGCATTTACTTGAAATCGGAGTATCTGTTGCTTACCTGTCCATTGTATCTGTATCTGTATCAGTATAGCCGGTATAACCTCCCTTCGACGTAACACACCAGCTTCGCAGGCACGCGGCGCGGCGGCAGCTAGCTATATCACATGAACGACTTGTTACACTCAATCTTTGCACATTTAATTGCAGGAGTTGTTTAAAGCTTTCTAGTGATGATGCCCCAACTGTGCTTGGTGGCAACGAGTATCCACTACGGTTCTGAAGAATGAAAACAAGTGTCGACGATCAATAGATAATGTGATAGTATCCAAATCCCTTCGCTGCTATCAATCATTTAGGGATCGTCCCGGGTAAAACCGAAAATCTTCTTAAATGTTATCTCTGACCTGATGTGCCTCTAAAGGCTGGAAGAGCACGCGATCGCACGTCGGTTTTATGTACGTCAGAAACGTCACTCAAACCCACTGGGACATATGATGGAAGATTCTGGAAGGGGTTTCAAGATATGTCAGATATACAGTGTGTGTACTAGTGCTACTCCTTCCGATCGTACTTGCTGCATTGCTCTTGTGTCTTACTAATTATTTCTGAGAGGGAAATATACCACTAAGGAAGGCACTAAAACCCACAAGAGACCCTCCAGTCTGCAGGTCTCTCAGTAAATTTGTCCGAGCGGCTGCCGACAACCTCAGCAGCCTGGCAATGATTAACGGTATGATTAACCACCGGTCAACTCGCATTATGATTGGTCGCACGCGCTGGGAGGCCCAAGATGGGTATTTAGGGATACCGTACTATGACTCTTATTTCTTGTAGGTGTGATAGACTTTTGCATCGTTAATAGCCTATACCTTGGTGTATAACGTGGCGTTATCGCGTTTATCTTACTGTCAGTCGATAAACGTGTGGCACTGGGATATCTGCGCACATCAGGTGTTCTCGTAACCGCCTTCAGACCCAATGTTTGAGAAGTTCAAAGGCCAATGAATTGTGGGCCTGGCGGAAAACCGGAGTTGCACGAGCGAGTGCCGAACACTAGGGAGACCGAGTCCCACGGCAGGTCGGACCGTAGCGTAGCAGGAGACCTCTCGGGGAAAGATCGTAAGCACCACCGAGGAAAGACGGCGAGGATGGCGGCGGCCAAGATTCTGCTGCCCGTACTATTGGTGTTATGTCTGGGCGCGGTGGCGACGGGGCTGTACGAGCGGGTATGCGGTAAGTCTCGTCCGATGTTTTCTCGGCCAGGCGTGCTAGGTTGACAAGCGCACGGCTTTTTACCAGTACAAGGGGGCAGGCATGTCCTACATAACTGTGTATCAACCAAACACTTTATCAGCCGCATAACTAGATGGCTTAGCTGGGGGGTCAACAAATCAAAATTTCGCTGAGTAGACATCTAGACATTTATGTACACATACTTTCCCGTATATACTCATGCACTGAGCGAGGGCAATCGTACTACAGATTTGTATGTAGTGTTCTCTCGGCCAAATATTGGTCTGCTTGCCAAAAGGACATTCTCTCTCGCACGCACAGCTAACAGAAACAGACCGTAATGTTGTGGACAGGCGTTTGGCAGGGAAGGTTACATTTCTGGACGGTGAGCCATGTACATGTGGCAGGGCGCCCCGCGTTTTCGCACGCCGGGTAAGGTTCACGGAAGAACAATCTGGTCCCAACATCTCTTGGCTGAGGACCAACGTTTGGTGATGTATATCCATAGTTACCGCACAATATCATGGAAAACTCGGATAACGGTCCCTTGGCGTGAAGCAGTTAGCTTTCAGGCAATTATATCTCTCGCAGTCAAGTTAATGGAAGTAACTACTTCATTTTGTACGCGAGATTAGCAAATTGTGTACAGTGCCTCTACGGTATCTGATGATTGTTTGAGGAGGCAGGGAAGAAAGAAATGTGGGTTGGGATGAAGGCGTTGGTCTTTCCAAAATCCCTAAATGTCTGGGTCTTTCGACCTACACGTAGTAGGAAAAATTAAGATTTGGGCGGGGGCGTCACTATTTTCAAACTGTCAAAACATGTTGGAGCTAATATCATAATGATTGTGCGTAGCGTACGGGTGAATGTACGGGTATATTTAGACGACAGTCGACCAGGGTATTAAATGCGAAGCCATATGGCAGTGTTTTGATAGTTTGCTACGCAGAGACAAGAAAATCTGTGTTCGGCATTGGTTGAAGGTTTGTGTATAAGACACAAGGTGGCGTAGACTTGTGATGGCCGTAGATTGTCTGGCCCATTTGTACTTATTGAACACAGCAATGTTTTTGTTCTGGGTTTATAGAATATTAGTATAGAATTTGATCGGAATGCTCGACTAGGCTATAGTAGTGGATGGCCATGTGGCTTGCATTGTAGATGACCGCGTAGGGGTTAGAGTTTTTTTTTACGATGCCGGCGTCTGTGTAGCCATGCGTGGTTACCCAGGGGTAGGTAATCATTCCCCTCCATCTGTGCTCGCGTCGTATCGGCGGACATGAATATGGATGCAGACATAATCGTCTGCTGTAGGCTTGAGTCCAGTCTACGAAAACACGATTATATCAAATATTCAAATTGGCTTGGCGTGGGAGAGATTGCGTGTATGAATGCACAGGCGGGGGTCGGAATCTCCAGGGAGTGGGGAAGAAATATCTACACATGGGACGGCTGGGGAGAACCACCGCAATGGTGTAGTACTACTTCATGTCAGTTGAGGAGTATATCACTGTCTCCCACGCACTAGATGTTAGAATGGTAAATCATTATGTGGAGTTGTTGCTAGCTCCATAATTTTTGCTGACACGCTACTACTATACGTATGCTGAAGAACGGCCGTGAATAAAAAGAAAGGGAAAGGAAGAAAGCTACGATCTTCCCCTCCTAACGTCTGCTTGGAGAATAGAATAGAGCCGCATGCACATGTAACAGTGGGGTTTATAGGCGCCACCAACTCATCCGGTGACGGATCTAGACCTTTTAGCCGAATGGTTAGAGCGTCGGGGTGTAAACTGGTGCCCGGGTTTGGCGTGGGTTCGATCCCCGGCCCGGGACCAGGCTCGCCTTTGCTGCTTCAGCCCGTTTTTGCTATTTCCTTCCCAACGTCTGCTTGGAGAATAGGGCCCTGCATGTATTGAAGTCACAGACGGCGCGCCTTTGCTTGCTGCTCCAGCCCGTCCGGCTGGGCTAATATTGACGGAGAAGCTGCGGTAACCGCGGCCGGGCGCCCAGGCATGCAGTCAGTAGGTAGCCGGGTCGTTCATTCAGTAAATGGAAGATACTGAATGGCAGTACTAGAAAGGACGTGCGAGTCATAGCAATGTGAAATGTAGTCTTCCATCATAACATGTACATTTATTGAAATTCGACTGCGACTGCCATTTTCTCTGACTAAAAACGTGGATGCTCCAACACAGAAGTGTCGTAGAATTGATAAAGTTATATCTGATCTTTTAACTCCATGGTTAGATTAGTACGCTAGTAGAAATAGTTAATAGTTATTAAATGTTATTTGCCATACATTGTATTCGATGCAACTGTTGCGCAATAAATCTTGAATTGATTTGACTTGAGTAATCTCCAAGCAGATATTCGGTTGGAAGATCGTAACCTTTTCTGACTGCTGGGCTTCTCTGAGTGAAACGGTTGTCGCAAAACGTTACAAACTTCCACCGTAACATCTGCTTGGAGATTAGCGGTCATTGACCTTTGCTCACAGTGACCGCCATAGGTTTGCTACGTATAGCTGCAAAAATATTTAGGTAATCTTTTATAATTTCCTTTTCTGGTTTCAATAGAAATGCCAGCCATTTTTCCACTCCACTTTCATGTTCATAATGTAAACAAAAGTGATCGGTATTTGATGCTTCGGTTGCTTATTTTATGGAATCAGAATTCAGAAAAGTAAACGCTTTGACGGCCATATATAAACCATGTGGAGCACCTAATGTTTTTGCATTTTACTGTGTGGTAAAAAAGTAGCTAAATGTTGCTTTTACACCACAACAGTTACAACACATTCTATTCATATCTCAGCAAACCGTCCGCACTGTTTACCTCCAAAGCTAAAGATAAGAGGAGTCTTTCGACGGTTTAGCAGAAAAATAATAAACAGGTTGAGTTAGATGTAGGGTTTGTTTGACACGGAGTGCAAGCACATGTCCACCGTACGGATGGAACTGTCGCGGTTTCTGGTTTGGTTGGGCGTTGGGAACATGTTTTAATGAGAAAAGAGTCATCTGGGAGCCAGGCACACTGGAGTGGAGGGTAGTGTGATTGGTAATGCACTTGGGAATGTAAACCCCCATGGGGGAGGGGGGCGTTGCGGGCGGGAAATATGTACTCCAAGCAGAAGTTGATGGGGGAATATAGTTACCGTTTTTTTGTCGCTACCCCCACGGCGAATTGGACCCTCTCTGGCCAATGCCTAGCCAATTTGATACTGTCTTTTTGCCACCCTTGGATCTGCTTGGAGATCATGAAATATGATCAAATACATGCATGTCTGTCCGTATAATAGGGGGTACATGTATGCAACGCCATGCTAGATATGCAATTCTAGTTTGGAATAGATCTTAAAAGCCAAACTACGTACCTAAAACGTAATAACAGCTTTGGTTTGGGTAAACAATACGTAGATGATATTTTTATCATTGGTTGATTGGCATGTGTCATATGCTATATGGCGTGTATACCTTACATGGCACATGTCTCCGCTATTATGAAAATGAAATAGCGCGCGCAATATTTAGCCGAACTCAAGCCTCTTTGCTTGCCACAAAACATCAGAAATGGCACGGTGATATTTGTAATGTATTGCAACTGTATAGTAAACTATAGTGATATAAACAGTTGCTCTACAAAATGTGACATACGACGGACTACGTAGATCTACTACACTATAGTAGAGTATAGCACAGTTGTTGTTGTCCTACCGTCTCCGGTTTCTATCGGCTGGTGCATGATTGCCCAGATTAGCTGCAGTGCGTTACCGATGTGGACGTAATCAGCGGGACTCTTCACAGTTATTGAAGTGCGGGGACGTTCGTAAGTGGTCTCCGAGGCTATGTCAGGGGGAACCTGGATACCAAATTTCGTTCCATTTGATGCATACGTTCGGTAAACGCTTTAGATTAAGGGTACTGGCTTGCATCCGTTGATTTATACATTTATACCATTTAAAAGTTTTTTTATCAACATATCCGTACGCACGCACCAAGAAGAAAGCGTACATGCATCCCTGTGCACTGAACAGTTGACTGGGAAAATCCTTTTGATACAGTGCTGACATAGGCGATAGATGAAGTACCAGTGAATATATTGATACGAAATACCTGCTATTCTTCTTCAAATCGATTTGAGAGTGACCTATCGATACTATCATTATTGATACTTAAATACGAAAGGCTCTCGCCTACGAAAAAATGTTCGGCCCCAATTGCAACTTCGGTTTATTGCTGTATTCTCCAAGAAGCAGTTGTTTAGACTTTGGTTTTCTTTTCGTACTGGTATCTTTTTTTTTAACGCCGAAGCCCAACGGGTGGCAAATGGATACTGCCTGGCCAATTTGGTACTGTCTTTGCAGCCACCAAAAGATCTGTTTGAAGCTTAAACACCGTCCACATTATTTATAACGCATCCTCATCAACTGGTGTTCCTTAAACCCCCATACGACCCTCGCCCCCCAATTCCAGCCGGTTGTTGTCAGGCAGACGTGAATGTTTTCATCCCGGCGCGAACACCGGTAATGTGTGGAGAGTCCACTGAAGGGCCGCCCGTGTAAATACACCATGCTCGACTGGACCGCTGCTGGAAAACCACGCATGCATATGATCAGCTGCCAACCGGTTGACAGACGTAGCCTCCATAGCATGCCAAAAACTGGGGGTTTTGGGGGTCCTCAGGATCTTTGAGAGCCTTTATGTGCTATTTTCTGATTGCATATAGACAACATAGCCGGCCTGGTTGAATTACCCCCGTTTTTTAAGAACTGGGCTGACCAGAAAACAGCCGAAGACCACCAGACCTCCAGTTCTATAAGCCTGCTACGGAGACTATGACAGACGGTGCTCAAAAACGTATACGCACTCTTTTTATCGTATATTGAGATGGAAAATGAAATTAATAATTCACAGGATATTTTTCTGCCATGAATGACTAGTAATGGATTCGTTTTGCTATAGAAAGTTGATACAAGAATTACTTCAATCAGGTGCATT